CATTTTTACGAGATAATGCTGGTACTGGATTGGTAAGTTTACTGGTTGACTTAAATGGTTGGATCAGTGGCAATATGGCAAGCCTACATATTGACCATGTGTTATATAAGGAGAATGAGAGTAGGGGTGAGCAACACTGAACAGCGTGAAAGAGAATTAGGCTCTAGTTGCCGAACTCTTTTTTGGGCTAATGGAATCAAGATCAATGCTCTTCATGAATTTTATTCCACCTTCTGCTCTTGGAGTTGTTTGTTGGTCTTTTCTTTGTTGTTTATCATCCAAGATGTTGATGGTATTATTTGCAATTGCTTTGAATAAGGATTTTGAACATGACCTATGCATGATTGTAATTTACTCATCACGTAAGGAAATGATGATCTGTTATCAAATAATAGGATCTGATGTTCCTAAGAGATTAGGAATGCCCTTGTGACTGAATAATGTCAAATTCAGAAGACACATGGTCAAATATATTTCTTGCTCATGATTTAGGAGAAAATATAATCTTTTATATTTGATTAATTAAATGGAGAAACAATTTATATGATGAAACAGTTTGGTACTAATTTGGGATGAATTTTCTTCTATGTTTCTTGAGTGAAGCACTTTTCCAAATTGCACCTTTCTGGTTTTTGCTTTCAGGTTGGATGGTGGGCTGGTGTTTCAGAGGATATTAAGGATCCTTATGGTCTAATTATACGAATAACTGCAGAGCATGGGAGATATGTAGCAAGGAGGTACAGTCCAAGGTGAGATCCTCTCTATATGTTTGCTTTTTCTACATCTGTCTATTGATATAAAATATATTTTAATGCATGTATTTATGGGAATATCATGTTAAATTTTTGGTGTACATTCTCATGTTTTAGTCAACTTTTTCTGTTGTGACTATGACATGGATGTTTGCAAATTTATGGACTGAGTTTGTTTGCAAAGTGATTTGTGCATGTTAAGGGCTGGGAATGGCTTTGATCCATTTTATTTTCCTGGTGAAGTGGTATTCTGTTCCTGGATCAAGTAATGTGGTTTATTATATGCAATTTTCAGCTATGCGTGCTATATAAATAAATATGTTTCTATTGTACTAGTGATGCAAACAGTGGTGGAGCCAAGATTTGAAATGAGGGGAGGCCAAATTTGTTAACACTTAAATTAAATTTGTGTCTAAATTATTATTTTCTCTGGTCTATTTTAGTTGTATTAATTTGATTTTTGCATAAGTTTGATTTGATGATTTTATTTAACAAATAGATGATAATTGAAAATTTTTTTCTTCTCAAACATAGTATCTGTTGAATATTTTCACTTTAAGATCAAAAAAATTTTCAGTTGTCATTAACTTGTTTATATAAAATCATTAAGTTAATTAACATAAAGTTGATAAAATTGGGTAACTAAAAAGGACCAAAGGGACATATAATTGTAAAGTTGTAAACTTTTGGTGATGAGTGAATAATTATCTAGTTGTATTTGTGGGGAAAAATAATAAAACACATCTAGAAAAATGTAATAAATTTAGAAACACATCAAAATTTATATAACAGATGATAAAATAAAAAAAAATTTTGATTTAATAAAAAAGTTTGAGTTAGAGGTGAAGTTTTAATATTTGACGTAGAAAAAAGGTTAGATATTATTAGTAATTAAAATGAATAATTTAGACGATTTTTAAGCACTAAAAAGTGATGATCTAAGGTTTTTTTCAGAAAAGGTAGAGAAATGTTAAAAGTTTAAAGATTTTCTTACCAATTTTTTGGCCAAAAATAGTAGAGATTAAAGGCTGTTTTTATGGTTAAGATTAGCCTTAAAGAGTTACTAAATGTTATGCCAATGTTCTATTTTAAATTTAATGGAAAAATTTACATAAAGAGTAATGATAATTATTTTTTTATAAATATTAAGAATAATTAGGTGAATAAAATAAAATTTAAGGATAAAATTCTTAAAATACAAAATTGAGGGACTAATTTAAAAGATTTTTAAAAGATGTGGCTCTGCCACTGGATGCGAATGCTCCAAATATCAGAAAGGAAGGATCCTCTAGAATCAGGTGTATTAATATCCTAAATTGTTAAAGCGTCATTAGAGGATTCTTTTTTTCTCAATTATTCATCAATAAAGTATTTTTAATTGTAGGCATGTTTTGATTCCGTAACAGTTGGAGTTAATTTGGGCAGTTGTGCCATTCTCTCTTTCCTTTTTATTTCATTTGTTGGATAGCATTGATGGTTTATTTGGGTAGTGGTAATCAGTTCTTAGACAACATTGTTTTTAACCCATGGCTGGCAACTATTCCTGAGCAGTTGGCAGTCCTAATTTCTGCAAATGGGACCCAAGACATGCCAAGATAGATGGTTAGAGTGGATGTTCTTTAAAGTAGACTTTGATTCAATCCCGGCTTTAGTTCTCCTGGAGAGCATGGTTACCCATATACCTGCTTCTAATGGTGTGGCAAATCAAACATACAAAATTGATCTCGTGCATGAAACTAAAATTATAGGGACAAGCCTTGCAAGAATGAAGTAGATTATGATTATGGTTTTGATAAATGCAAAGCTGTCTGGATATTGGCAAGCTGTATGATCCTTATTTTTATTAGATTGTATTAACTTAGCAAGCTAGAGTGATAAATAATTCAAGCATGCTATGTGCCTGGCACTAAATTTACTTTCTTTTTATTTATTTATTTAAAGAAAATTTTCAAATACGATGTAATCTTCTTTACATACAAAATATTTCATTCCACTGCTTCTTGTGTGCTTAAGTATTCTATGTTTGTACTTTCTTATTTCTAGATTTGTTGACTGATCTTTTTCTTTCAGGCAGCTTGCTATGACTGCAGCAGGGGTTCCCTTGTTTGAGATCTTTCTCACAGTGAATGAGAAAGGTGAATACAAACAACAGGTATCTTTTGTTTTATTCTCTTTCTTTTTTAAGTTTCTTTTGCTTAGGTCGAGCTTTTTTTCCCCCCTATCTTCATCTTGATTGGAGCTGTTTAATTGTATAGTTTCTAAAATTGAGCATAATCTCCAGTGCTTCTTGGTGTTAACCGTATTAATATAATTTTGGTTTCTGTTTAATTGTATATGGTGTTATTAGCAATGTATCTGATGAATGAACTTGTATTCATATGCTCTATCTTGTATTCTTTGATGCATGCACTTGCTGTTTCTACCTTGTTATGATCAAGTGACCATTTTGGACTTGATAAACTTTTGACATTATTGAAAGTCAAGTCTCAGTTGTCCTGCGTATATGGTTAGCATGAACAAACTGTTCTTGAGAGCAGGGGCGGAGGCAGAAATTTTTTTCAGGGGGGGCAAAATACTAAAATTTTCAAAGTTCAGGGGAGGCTAGATAATTTTTCATATACTAATTGCAAGATTTTCCAAATTTCAGGGGGGGCGAGCGCCACCCCTCGCACCCCCCTGCCTCCGCCACTGCTTGAGAGATCTAAAAGCAGTACATCTGGTTGGTTTTCTGTGCCTGACTTGTTGAGGCCAGTTAATTTCAAGTGTCTATTCAGAAGTACCTTTATCAGATAGGTGGACTTATAAGCTGGCTTACTCCTTATCCAGCAGTCCATTTGTCTAATCACCAATATGCTTTGTATTTTAAATAGAAAAATAGTTCTCATGTTGAGAATCTTTCTCCAGTGGATCATTTTCTCTTTTTATTAAATGGAAAATATGAAGCTTCAGTAAGTAATGATAGGCTACAGAAATATCACCACTGTTGTCTTAAGACTGTCTTGTGTTGTCTATATGGATTTCTGTTTAGATTGATTATTTTGTGTTTGCCTGGGTCATCGAGACTTACATATGGCCTCTGACAAATGGTTGCTTTCTATAATATAAATGGAATACAGAATGCACTTTTCTGGTACCTAACCTTGTTTGGATAAACTATTAGCATGCTTTTTCCTCTCTTGCTTCTTTGTTGCAGCCATGATTTTTATATTATTAGCAATCTGAAAAGAGTTGTATGTACTTTAGGCTGTTTACTTGAAAAGGAGGAGTTCTATTCCAGATTCTTCAGCAGTTTCCTCCACGGCATCTGGAGCCACTAGCCGCCAAAGTCCACCAGGTTCTAATGAGGACAAAGGTGATCTTCTTATTGTAAGTGCTGAAGATGCTGAAGATGGTGATGATACAGATGATGGAACTGATTTGACTGAGGGACTACTTGGCTTTCAGAATGTATTGCGAGATCTGATTCCTGGTGTAAAGGTTACAGTTTTGAAAGTGACAGCACCTGGAAAAGTAGACAGAGATTTTATATCTAAGGTGGTTGAGCAAATAATGGAGGAAGAAGATGAAGATAAAGATGATGAGATAGAAAGTTTGAAAGTGGAAGATGAAGTGAAGGATGAAAGTGACCAAGAGAGAGATGAGATTCAAATGGATTCTGGTAGTGAAACTGTTGATAACAGTGGGAAAAGTGAAATGGCTGTCAAAGTTGTTGTTGGTGGCCTTGTGCAAAAGCTCTCTGGCAGTATGCCTGCTACAGATAGGGTACCTGCTAAGTTGGAGAAAAGTGGACGTTTTTCATTCTCCTTTTCCATAGAGAAAGACATCAACCAGCAGGATTCCAAGGAACAAGCTTCCAGAATAAAGGCTAAGCTTCACGGCCAACGTGGCATAGAAAATGTGATATCTGATTTTGCTAAGCACATTGGTGGAGAGAAGATACCTTTGAAGGTAGCTTCTATATGTCTCATGCATATCTGACAGATACTAGCTGTAGTTACCATAGAAATGAGATTAGGTATCCATTTTGTAGTCAAGTTTCTTTCTGTATGGTGCATAGTTTTTATCCAATTTCAATCATGCAGGTACTGAGAGATGTTGGAGAATTAATAAATCTCACCCTCAGCCAGTCTCAAAATCGTCAACCACTATCTGGGTCTATGACTTTTCATCGCATTGAAATTTCATCGTCCCCAGATCCTCTAAATGGTGATTTTTAATGAAACCTTTAATGTTGTGGTTTATTTATTTATTTATTTTATATTTTGTATTTTATATTTTGTATTTTATATTTTGTATTTTATTTTATTTTTTATTTTATTTTTTTCATTTTGTTGGCCTTGTTATGTTGGTTATTCAAATCTACAGAAGAGTAATGTATTTAGAATGCTTGTATGATTAGGCTTATATATTGGTGCACAAGGGCTTTATGCCTCAGAAGTCATTAATCTGAAACGAAAATTTGGTCAGTGGCAAGAAGATGGTGGAACAAAGGAGACTTCAGATCTAGAGTTTTATGAATATGTTGAAGCGGTGAAGTTGACTGGTGATCCTTATGTACCTGCTGGCCAGGTTATTATTCATTTAGTATTTTTTTTGTTGTAAATTTTCCCAATGTAGCTAATTTTGATGGAAATATAAACATGGATACTTAATTTTGCTTTTGCCAAAATTAGTTCGTAACATGGCAGATTGTCTCTTTTTGTCATGTTGTCTATTTTCCTCTTCTTCCTCTTGTCCTCTTTCTGTGCTTATGATTTTGTTTGTAATGGTACTTGTGTCTAGTTTGTCGCTTGAAACCTGACATTGATACATCTTTTTATTTTTTTTTAAGGTGGCATTTCGTGCAAAGATTGGACAAAGATATCAACTTCCACACAAAGGGATCATTCCTGAAGAATTTGGAGTGGTATATTGTTAACTTAAGCCTTATTTGTTATTTTCCTTCTTTCTTCTTTCTTTGATGCCTCATGCAACTGTTGTAAGAGCTTCTTGTGGCCCTATTTTCAACTCAGATTGCTCGATATAAAGGGCAAGGGAGGCTTGCCGAGCCAGGGTTTCGAAATCCAAGATGGGTTGATGGTGAACTTGTTATTCTTGATGGAAAGGTTCTCTTTTTTCTCCTCTATTTTCCTTGGAAGTACAATTCAACATTTCGTTTGCAAAATGGATGCTGACCATTCGATATTTAATTAACTTATTTATGCAGTACATCAAAGGAGGGCCTCTTGTTGGATTCATATATTGGGCCCCTGAATATCATTTCTTGGTGTTCTTCAATCGACTAAGGCTTCAACCATAGATTTCAATGTACATAATATTTAGTTTGTTTTTTTGATCAGACAACACAACGACACAACCATTAGACAGTAAGTACTTTCTCACCATGAAGTAGGTCAAGGCAGTATGGATGTACTTATAAATATAGCTGATGTAAACTGGAATTGATTTTCTGTGGACAAGTATAACAATCAAGTTATGTTTACATGGATAATTTTTTTAATTAAAATGCTCTAATACTTGCATTGTGCCCAGCATAGTGTTGTTTCATGTAAACATGACCAAGGAATTCAGCATCACTTATAGTAAAGTAATCCGTCTGGCCACTTTTCATGAATGCAAATTATTTGAATGAGTAGCTATCTGATTTTACTTTCACATATAGCTTCTGTTCTTTCTTTTTTATTTTTTGGTTGTCCGAACTATACATATGACATATAACTGTTCTGTGCACTACATTATTAGTATGCTAGGTTACCCAATGGTGTATTACTGGCTAAATGATATCAATGTGGCTTTCATGTGGGGCCTTATAACCATAAGCCAATTTTCAACACCTATTGCTCATTTTAGTGGCTTAATGAAATACCTGGATTTTTTGGCTGATCATCCATTTAAGATAAGACACGGAACATTGCTGTTTCATTACTTACCCCTGGGTATCTCTTTATTTTAACTCTAAATAACAGATTATCAGGCCTGACCAAGAAAAAACATGCATCATATGAATAGTATTAATAATTGGATTTACATATATTTTTAATGATAAGGATTATTTATTGCATGTGGTCTGGGTATGTGTACTTTACAATCATCATAGGGTCTTCTCTTTACCTTTTTCTTTCCCCAGCTGACCATATTGCTGAATCATATTAGGCACAATTCATCTATCATCATTATGAAGTTTCCATATACTTGGGGCACTTTTGAAAAGATACTCCATTGAAAAATTTCTTAATTTTGCTTTGTTTTGCAGTAGACGCTTGTTCCTTGGTAGTAGAGCAATGGAGAACTAAAGAGACCATAGGCTTCCTGTTGACTGTCACTGGACTAATCACTACAAAGTAAGCATAATAACCAGAGGAAGTAATCTGAAGCTTACAGATTTAGAAGAAGTTGGGTTCTCCATTGCTTGAGTTTTTGTAAAGTCCTTCCCATTAATGTTTGTGTTATTTTTTATACATTCAATCAAGTTCTCACCACTAAGCCTATCTAAATTATCTTAGCAATTCTAGCTTAAGCCAGGATAGTTTTCACATTTCTAACTAGTTCAAGTTCATAGAGGGAGTTAGGAATTAGGTAATTGAATGCCTGAACTAATGGTCAGAATATTCAAGGCTTGTGGATGGCCTTCTTTTGTGATCCATTTGCTGGATGATCTTAATTTCTTTTTCATCATTTTATTTCTGCTGTCCTCTTTTGTTAATTGTTAATATGACTATATAATTGTGAGGAATGGTTTGGCATGCAATCTCTGCTCTGCTAATAAATCATCATGAGTGGCCACATTTGGAGTTTGTAAAATGTGAAATTCTGATCTTTTCTTTTCTTTCTCTGTTTGTTTTGTCATATGATTTTTGGCATTGCACATTGTTCTGTAGCATTTCAATAAATTATTTTCCCTCCCTTTCTTGAGTTACATTTGCAGTCTGTAACTTCATGATAAGTTCTTGAATCTCTTACAATCATGAAATACCGGCTTGGAATGTTTAATTTCATGATTGGGGTGTTTGAATTTTTGCTGAACAAAGGACGTGACAGAGAGAAGTAGGAGTGTGGAAAAAGATAGACCCTCAATTGACTTATCAGCATAATTTTACTTAAAGTAGAGAATAATTATCGAGAATATAAATCATTGATTGCTGTAAAATATAGAAGGGGGCTTCATGGTAGAATTTTGCAGACTGTTTAGTGATAAACTCGAGCCTTTCAACTGGAAAAGATAGATGGGGAAATTGTAGGTGTGTGATGCTTTATGGAAGGAAAAAAGCTAGGTTTTGGAAACAAGTCCAGAGAATGGGTCTTCTTCGTAAAATTGAAATTAAGATTTTGTGGCTAGGGACTTAATAGTGTAAATAAGAAATTGTAGGTGTTTAGTGGTAGCACTAACAAGGTAAAGATCATTTAGGCGTAGATGGTTAGGTCATACCAGCACAAATCATTAAGCACTGGCAAGGGCCTCGAAAGACCAAAAAAATGATAGGTTGAGATGCTAGAAAGATGGTTTGAGCCTGTAATTTATTGTTTATGTTGCACAGTGTAAAGTCTTGAGGCTTGACACAGTGCATATATATTAAATAGATTATTTATGATAACTGGAAGTCTGTAAACAAAATCAGAAATGGAATGTATAAAAAATGTTTAAAATAATTAGTTAGTGAAACCTCTGTAGTCTTCATAAATAAATTTTACATTCTAAAAGGAAGAAATTTGCAAAACAGAGTAATCAACATAAAAAAGTTTCGACCATGGTGCTCTTCATGCAGGATTGAAATGGGAAAAATACCAACTCTATGCACCTACTGCTCGATTTCCAGACATTAAGTTTTTCAAGAGAAAATGCAACACTGACTTGTCACGTCCAGGTGTGTACTTTTATTTCATCTTTTTCCCCTTTTCAAAATTTTTTGAGTTTTGTGAATTTACATAACTTGTTAGTATTTTCTCAATTTGTCATGGTTTTTGAAATTTGAATTAACAATATAAAAATATGAAGTTAGTCAGGTCAGGTGTGCTGATTATCCTCTGATTCTTGCTTGTGATGTCTGTTCTTTACTATTGGGTTGAGGGGTGTTTGGTTTTAGAAATGATTTTATATTTTTATTGTCTCACTGAGCAGGAAATAGGTATGTCCTGCAGTTCTGTAATTGGAAATGTATTTTCAGAATTTAGATTTGTTCCACTTGTGATCAGATTGAAAGTCTTCTACTGAAAAGATGTTATGCATTCTTCTCCCTCAGTAATGAAACAGAGAAAAAGAGGAAGTTGAGAATTTTCAAGGTTTTAAGTTATGCTCTTCACCGTGTTTTGTTGGTCTTTTTTATTGGAAGTTTTCCAAAATGGCCTGATCTAGTATGTCGAATTAAACTGAAAGCTTTTACCTATATGTGTTCTCCACCACTGAACAAAGATATTCTATAGGGATTAGGGACACTGCACTACATGGTTCTGGTAGCATAATTGAATCACTTAGCATACGATTGATTTCCATTTAAGCAGATCTTACCCTTCTTTTGGCTTTACATTTAGTTGAGCTCTCTATATCTCCATAAATATTCCACTTTGTGCATTCATATATTATGATCTTGTTCAGTTGGTGAAATACAAACAGCTTATTTTGAGAGTAGAACTACACACTGTAGGGAACATTTGGTTGGGGAATCCCTATTCTTTAAGGACTTGTAGTAATATCTATTCCTTACTCATTCTCTAAACTAGTAGAAAGTGAGCTTATTTATTCCTAGCTTATCAAGTAAGCTTCCTAATTTTACCTTATTTTTCGCAGTTTGACTAAAGAATAGACATTCCTCCAACCAAACATGACCTAAAGGTTTTAGATACCCTTAGATCTTAAAGGCCACCCAGCCCAAGCTTATGGCTTATTCAATGCACCAAAGGCCACTTCATTTGCTATTCTGGCTCCCCTTTCTTTTGCCATGTAAAGCCCTACATGATGCATCAGCTCCTGCAGAAATAAAAGAAGCATCATTCAGATTATTCTTTTGCAACTTTCATCGGCACATAATTTTATGATTTGAGGATTTGTAGTTGGGGTTTCTACATTCTTAACATGTTCCTTTACCAATGGCTAGGCACTTGCATTTAAGTCACCTGTTAAGAGCTTAGAATTTGAGTGGAGATCCTAGTTTTAGGCAATGCATTTTTTTTTTTTTAATTACTTGAAGATTTACCTGAGGATGTGGTAAAGCTCCCTTGGTGCTTCTAGCAATGTGAAGAGGAACATCAAAGGTAGCACAGGCTTGTGAATACACAACGACATCCTTCAGGGGAGGCAAAAACCCTCTATTCCTTGCAGATAATGTTGAGCAAACAAAATCCAGTACACAAATATCTGAACAAACCCCCACAACCAGCAGCTGCACCAGCACAAAATCAGATGATGTTGTTTTGACTGTGAACTTGAATATAAAACGAATGGAAAATGTAGTCAGTTTTGAATTGGAAATCCGCAATTTAAGCAGGATGAGTGCTTACAGCTTGAATCTGATTGTTCTTGACCCAGTCCACGAAAACATTGGAACCATCATTCTCAATTGAACCCAGATATCCATCATAGCAATCTTTGCGCCTGATTGTCACGTTTGGTTCATTCTCTATCCATTGCAAAGCTGCGGTTTATATAACAAAGCAAGATGAGAGAAAGTAAGAGGCTATGTATGATAATATATCAGTGAAAAGGGATTGAAGGTTTGTTTGGTGTGCAAGGAAACTGAGGAGTTTTGCCCCAGATTCTGCTGCCTAGCTACTCCTGGCTTTTGCCATCTGACTGCTTTGGATTTTGCTGCAGGATGTTTAGTCCAGTATGAGGTTTATCATCTAGGGGCCGGAATGAACAATCAATCCTGAGAATATGGGGAGTTTAGTCAATTCGCTATCTAGCTGTCTTTGGGTTGTGCTGCAGGGTGTTTAATCGACTAAACTTTTTATTTTTCAGGATGTTTATCTTCCAAGGTTAAGCTCTACTAAACACGTTGTAGCAGAATACAGGGGCAGCTGGGCAGGACAATCTGGAGGGCAAAACAACGGTACCAAACATGTCTAAAGAAGAGAGAAATGACCAGGAACCAAATTGGATTCATCAGTGCCAGTAATGCAATGAGGAGGATAAGGTTCCTCAGGCTTGTTAGGTTGATGAGTATCAAGAAACGCCATAACTGGCAATTTCTTCTCGCAGAACAGTTTTGCTAGTTTTGCTGATTCATTGATCATTCTCGATAGCTGCCTGTTGGGTTCTCTCGGAGCCTGAAAACCCAGAAGCAATACGAAAATTCAGACCTAAAATGAGAAAAAGGAAAATAATAACAAAAGAATAAAAGATAACCAGATTTCCAGCCCCAACAGTGCAGAAGCCGTTGATGATGTCCACAAGAACAAGCCCAGTCAAACCTTCTTCAGGGAAAACTACAGTTTCCTGCTCAAGAGGCAGCTCGTTCTTCACAAGATCAATTGTTTGCGACGCCATTTTCCACTGCCCAAGTCCCTTCAAGACAATAAAACTATGATTGAATTCTACTATATTGTGCTGAAGTGATGCATATATGTAAGGATTTTTATAGATAAACAGAATCTTGACTTTCAGGTATGGTCTATGGAATATTGGTCCAAAGTCGAAAAATATCTGCTATTATTGCTCTCTCTCGATGGATGAAGTCAAGAAGGTTCACCACGAGGATAAGATGTGAAGATCCATCCCATTGATTTTTCTCTCTCTCTTTTTTTTTTTTAAAGAGAAAAATCAACCTCTTCTCGATTGGATTAGCATGACATTGCCATCAAGTGTATAACAAAAAAATATGGAGTAAGTAAGCCACCTATAATTCGGATCATTGTCCCCATGCCAGGGACGCAATGGTAGTGCTTTGTTTATTTTTCTTGGTAAATCACAATGTTAGTGCTTTAGCGGTTAGCCTATTTGGAAATAAGTACCGCATAGAATGACATGGGGATGAGATCATTAGAGAACTGAAGAGCCTCTAAAAAGTTAAATTGGCCTGGGGTCTTCAACCTGCTGCTAAGGGAGACTGGCGATGGATTTGGAAAGTTCACACTTTTTTTAAAATCCACAACTTTATCTAGCTTCTTTGTCGTGAGAGAAGTAAGTCTTTAGATGTTCCAACTTGCATTTCTTTTGGTTTAAAATTAACTGTCAGAATAATGCCTTTTTTTCTGTCCATTGCTGTTCCCTGGGAACCGTATTTAGTTTTGTTCTCTGGATTGTTTGGCTTCAAAGAAATGCAAAGCTCCACCGTCAAGAGGACTTTTG